TTGATACTTTCACCTTTAATCTTCATAATAAAGTGGAAGATGAGTTCATAGATGCACTCAAAGATAAATTAAAAGGACTATCATTAAATGTTATTTCTAAACCAAAAGGTGAAGAGCAATCTAAAACTGAAATTAAAAATTTTGAAAATTCTCTACACCAAATGCAGTCTGAAGAAATAAATAAAATTGGATTTTTTAAACCAAAATCTCAACTTTCAATATATGCACAAGCTCCTCCAATGAGGACTTATTATCAGAAGACAACACTTCAAGATATTTTATATGAAGAAAAAAATTTTATTGATCAACAAGGATATGATGTCTTTTCAATTTATGAATGGAATATTGTTGGTATGTCTGAATATTTAATTCACCAAGTTTTACATAAAATTTTAATGTATTCTTCAATATGTAAAGTTAATCGAAATTTTGATCATACTACTGCTAAATTTATAACCACCAACTTCACAGGCCAACTAAGAGAATGGTGGGATAACTATTTAACTCCAGTTCAACAAAATGAAATTTTAAATACAGTCAAGTAACAACAGCAGAAAATATNATGAATGGAATATTGTTGGTATGTCTGAATATTTAATTCACCAAGTTTTACATAAAATTTTAATGTATTCTTCAATATGTAAAGTTAATCGAAATTTTGATCATACTACTGCTAAATTTATAACCACCAACTTCACAGGCCAACTAAGAGAATGGTGGGATAACTATTTAACTCCAGTTCAACAAAATGAAATTTTAAATACAGTCAAGTAACAACAGCAGAAAATATAACTATAATTACTCAAGAAGATGTTGTGTATACCTTAATACAGACTATATTAAAATATTTTGTTGGATCTAATTTTTAAAACACTGATAAAAATAAAAAACTTTTAATGAACTTAAAATGCCCCACCTTAACGCATTTTAGGTGGTATAAAAATGTATTTTTGGCTAAAGTCTTGTTAAGTTACATTGTTGTTGGAGCCTTTCTCCCGAGTGAGTAGAATTGGGGTTGTGAACAAACTTTCTCATCCTTTTATCCCTCTTTCTCCTTCTCTTCTTCTCCCACTTTTAATTTCTTGTTTCTCAATCCTTGTACTCTCTCTTCTCTGTCTATATATAGTGGGGCTCAGTTTTAAATCAATCAAAAACTTTTAAACATTAAGTGAAGTATTGTTTAGGCTATAGTTTGCTATATCCCATTTGTAATTGAATATATAGATTCGATGCTATAAGGCAGACCTGCAGGTGAATAGTTGGGCATCTTATTATATGTATCATACTTATTGTTTCTCCCTTGAAAAGCTTTTGATTGCGAAAGCTTCTAATGGTGCTTCATGTCATTAATAATATTACGTATATATTATTATCAATAAACAAAATAAGCTTGTCACTTTGAACAGTGAAAATTAATGAAATCTAACTGAAACCAACATTTTGACCATATCAATCAATAATAATGGGTAGTCAGAAAGTAACATAATAAACTGTATTTTTTGGGGACAAAAAAGTTCTTTCTTTAAAAGTTAAAAATGATGAACAATTTAAAATAGGGAGTTAAGTGATTATTGAAAAGAAATGAAAAAAACATTGACATTGCATGGGTAGAGGCTGTTTGAGAAAGAAATTGTGAGTAATTATCACACCGCAACAAGAAAGTGAGTATAAATTTGACAACAAACTCAACGTTATCTTCTTGCATTTTTCAAGTTCTCACAATACAAGTTAGAGTTAAGTGACTAAAAGAGTTTGAGAAAGTGAGTGCAGTATATTGCTAAACAGAGGTGCCAACTACAGGTTTAGTTGGTTATAAATGAGCACTCATCTTTTTTTTTTGGTGTAATGAATCTAGGTTCTATATAAAAATCTTATACACAAATACATTCTCTTGTATTTATAACAACATTTCATTATTCTCTAAGACTTCTCTTTACTTTTTTAATACTTTCTAGAATATTTCTTCAACAATGTTTAAGAATAGGAAATTAGACCTCTAAAATCTTCTAAAAGACACGAAATGACGTTGGGGTTATGATATGGGATGGGACTAGTGATTTGGTCTTTTTGATGATTCCACGTCAAAGGGTGATGAACACTATTAAGCACGAAAACAGTAGTTTTAAAAGCAACATTTCAGCCAGAAGTGTCAGTTGTTATTAGTTAATGGACTTTCAATCGGAAGGAGTTCATTTATCTACTTCAGTGCTGGGGGCCCATTTTTATTCAACATTTATCTGGTACTCTGATACTATGGAAGTTAAGTGTGTCCTTTGAAATTAAAATTGCAACACTGTGACTGAGATTTACCCAAAAAATTATGTAAATTAGTCTTGAGTATATTGTTCTTTCAGAAATCAATCAGTAAGTCAGGTCCCATATAATCAAATGAAAATGTATCTATCACCTTTTATGTAAATTAGTCTTGACTGAGTATCTGATATATTCTGAACAAAGTTGATGTTGAAATTATTTTACATTTGTTATGGTTTATTGGGAGTCAAAATACTTACCATCCCAATATTCCATTTATTTGATCTCTCCTATAAACATAGAAAAGCATCACTAACGACATAATATACACACGTATATGTATCAATATACGTCATTGCATGAGCTCATCACACGATCAAGCTTAGAACACTTAATTAAAAAAGAGTGTAGTCGGGATGACAAGGATTGGAATTAGGAGGTATATTTATTTATGAGAACAGCTTCAGAAATTTTGGTGAGTGGTGTTTGCTGCCTCTTGCTACCTTCAACCAGGAAAGGAAAGCCGCCAGGAGTGAACTAAATTGATAGAATATGGAAGCCCAGGCCAAAAACAATGTTAAATCGGACCAGCATTCGTGCCTCTTGTGTTGCATCAAAACGGAACAGGAAAAAGAAACTGTGATTGCAAAAGAAACAAGGAAGACTAAAAAGACATAAAATAAGTTACCATAAGTTTGGTTTTCCGAAGGTTCCATTGTCAATCTGTCTATGGTGGTTCACAATTGTAAGTATATATAATGCATACAAAATGGCACCATGCATAATTATAAAGTGGCATGCGTCTCTCTCTATTTTACCTCCACGTTTTAAAGTTTCTTTCCTCAAATCTCCATTTAATGCGTCTATAAGCCTTCAAGATATGTATCTCTAATATCTTTCTCTTTCTTTTATTTCTCTTTGACATTGTGTGACCATGCTTGGATATTATGCTCTGGCGTAACATTTAAAGATCATTTAGTGGAAATCCAAAGAGAATTAATGAAGTCCGGACCTTAAGCCTTTGTTGAGGATTTTTCAGAGTTAGTTTTTTTATTCTTTCAATTTTACGATTCTATTCCTTATTTAATTGAGATATGGTGACAATTGAAAGCGTGAATAAAAGGATGAAATTATCCGGTTACACAACTGAAACATTGTTTTGAATAGCAGTGTAATATTTTTTTTTTCACTGGTGGACTTCTTTCCAAAATAGTTTTTTTTGATAGACTTAAACATTAATAAATCTAATTAAGTGTAAAAAATTCGATTATGTACCATTTAAAGACCCATAATAAACGGCCCGATACATAACAATGCTAAAGTCCCATTAGGACTGACCAAAATACCCCATCTATTTTAGATTGAAAAATAAAATTAAAAAAAAAAAACTAGCCATAACGCAACAATAGAGTTGCTTCATTGTAACCAGGAGATCACGGGTTTAAGTCATGAAAATAGTTTCTCTATTTGTTACATTTAACCCTCTCCGATCTCCACAATGACAAGAGCCTTGTACATTGAATATACCCTTTTTTTTTTAACTAAAATAAAATAAATGACCCGACTATAACCTGCTTAAAAATCCATTAAAAACATCCAATTACCAGCCTTTATTCAAGCTAGCTAGCCTCGGCTTGTCACACCCGGCCCAATGAAGCATTTCAAAAGTTTACACCCATATGTAGACGATTATATAACATTTTCTAGCATTGGAGAGATTAAATAAGAAAACACTTGAAAGAACTAATTATATCCTGTGATGTAGCAGTGACCTTAACTGCTGGTCATCCATCCAAAAGGAAGAAAGGGACAATGATTATACATGGCATTGTGGCAAAAGAAAAAATCCTTTCAGCTTGACATGCACAATATCCAGTAAGCTAGCTAAACATCACTGAGATTTTTCACAGGGACAAGTACATTCATTGGATATGTGACTCTTTTTCCAAGAAGATTTATCACACATGTGGTTAAGTGGCTCAAGGCATTAGTGCAAACCAAATAAAGCAACGATTGATCAAATTAACACAAATTCCATATGACATCGACCAAAGATGTTTCCACATTATGTTACATTTACAACTTTGTAATAAGTGTGTTCGACATAAACCAGGAAAACTGATAACACCACACCTATCATAACAGAAAAACAGGATGGGAATATGAGAGCTAATTCCAAGTGCACTGGCTATTGCTTACTTGAGCAATCATAAACAAAACAGCCGGCTTTAGAAAACATCAGTAAGGCTTTAAAAGTACACAGATATGCTGCCTTATAGCAACTTCAAATATTTGTTTCATGACCCAATTGGAATTTAGGTATTTGACATGTAAAATTTTACCTTCTTTTTTTTTTCCTACTCTTTCTTAATAATGCACACAAGGTGATGTTACTGGTCTTGTGGCATTGACCAAAGTCTGTTATTACACTTTATCATCATGGAACCACCATCGTGTCTCCTTGGGAGATCTGCCATTCCTACAGTTCTTCACGTAGCGATCATTGTCTGTTGGACGTTGCTGCAAAGAAAACAAATTTGAAAGGGTATTGCCTTTTATATCCAGAAGATTTAGACACAGAAGCATGCAGACTCCTATATACACACAAACTAGCATGCATACACGTACACAAAAAAGGAGAGGGGGAGAGAGAGGGTTGAAATGTTAAATTTTAGCAACTTGATAGCAAACCTTAAGGGTAGAGCTCGATAACATGGAGAGAATGCTGATGCAGATAGAACTGACAGTCATGGCTGGGGACCACGAATCATACAAGATATCTGTAAATTTGAACAAGAGATGACACAAGCAGGTAGGTAAGCCAATAAATTGTATACACATGCCTGAAGAAAAAGAATGAGATAATCAATGAAAATAAAGCAGTTTTCCCCATTCCTAGAATTCCTTCCCCAAACCCGGGAAAAGGAGAGAATCTCCATCACTGCTAATTTTAGTCTTACAATTTTGAAATTACATGATGGGAGAAAGAGGGGCAAGGAGGGAAGAAGTGGTAAACCCCCTTTTTTTTTTATCAATGTACTATTTGGGAAATCAAGAAAAAATAATTTGTTAGTTTTCTCCAATTTCCATGTGACCAAACTAGTGGAGTAAACTTCATTGTTACACAGAAATAGATGTATAAATAAACCACAGTAGGCAAAAGCGGAGACAGGATCGTGACAGACAGGGACTTGGCAAATTTTTCTTTGTTTGGTTTTCATCACACCAAGTTTTTGAGATTTTATGTTTGTGTTAAACTGCTACCATATCTGAGTTTGTGGGCATGAATTGCTTGATAGTGTGAACCATATCCCAACGTACTGAAGATAGGGACAGAGATATTCATGCATCACAAGTTCTTCCTAATCAGTATTATTATATGAAATGCTTCCCTCTTGTTTCGTGTAGAAAAAGTTGATCTAGCATACAAAGGAGTTACCATCTCAGAGTGCAAAGGACTACAAGGCTATGCTTAGATTAGCACATGAGGTTCAACCATTCCCCATACCTAGAACCTTGCAACTTTTCTTACAACAATATCTCCAACACAGGCACCTCATTGTAAACCCATTACAAGACAAGTTTTTCCCAGAAAATTAAGGCTTAAGAATCCGTCTTCTCCCCTATTGTAATCATTTGAAAAGTTCCCTTCTTTATTCATTTTTATTATGTTATTTTTTCTTTGATAAAAAAAAATCATGTTATTTCTTCAACCAAGGGCATTAAAGGCCCGGCTCATCACACTGTCACATTAGAAAACAAGATCACCAAACACCATCCACTAGGAAAGAAATACATTCTCAATTTAACTAAATAGTCAATGGAATGGCAGCAAATTAGAGGGAGTTGTACTCCACATTCATATTGAGCCTTACTAACTGGCAATCCAAACAACATTTTGAACAAAAGAAGCATTTTTCTCAGATGTTTTTTCCGTAGCCTTAAGATTCGGCTAAGAAGTCGTATCAATTACTAAATTTGAGGGAGAAGCATTACTCTCCATTATTAAGTATGTGAATTATTTTCTAATCTAATGTATGGATATGGAGTAAAAAAAACTTGTGTGCCTTACCCCTCATATGTTGTGCGCCCAATACGTTACATAAAACGAAAGTAACGGGAAATTTTAATCCTTATTGCATCCTTTAGCCAAACAATATGCGTCTAGCTGAGAAATGCCCATCCCATAGCTGGGGGCTGGCATGTTGGCCTTACAACTGCACCTTGGGACTTACAGAGAAACCCCATCCTTCTCATGGAGGTTGAGTACTTATGCTAGGCCGCACCTTGCAATGAATAGTGGCACCATACCACATGCACAAGGAGGAGTTCCAAAGCAAGGTGGGATATCAAGTGCAGCACCTTGACTGCACTGGTTTGCATGATGGACACAGGCCTTAGGGCATGGCGCAAGCCAGGCCAGTTAGATAGTAGCATGATCTGCCCATAAGCATGCCTCGGCCACAAATGAACACTCGGCCTACATAAACTAGGGCGGCCACTTCTAGCAAGAAAGCAGCAGTATATTGGAATCGTATTAAAAAGTCAGCCATACTTCCAGATAATTTGAAAAAAAAAAAAAAGTCAATATTACAATGTCAGTTATTGTTATAAGAAGTAAACCTCCTACAAACTAATCATGATTGAACAGTACACACACATGCAAAGTCCAATTAGCCATAGCAGATATGGTAACAAGACAAACCTAAACAGATGTGACCATTACTATAAATATGAGGGTGAAGTGGAGCTGGAGGGGTGAAAACAACCTGTCCAACAAAAGGAAAGTAAAACAGAATACAGATTATTATCAAACAGGACAATAATCAAACACCAGAACAAAGCAAATAGAAAAAGAAACCTCCAGTCAGTAGTAGCTAAATAACTACAAGCCTCAGTCAAAATCGAAATTACCTTTCCCAATCTTCAGAAAATCCAACAAACACAGCACCATTAATTTTTTTTTTTTCCTTTTCCCAGGCCTCTTTTTCCTCAAATTTTCTCAGCAACCACCAAAGAGGGCAAAAAAAAAATTGAAAAAAGTGTATTAATCATATTCACCTGCGGGGCTTCCATAGGGTAATGTTCAGGAAAATCAACCTGAAGCTGGTACATTTCGTTAGCGTACAAAGTCCCCGGCGCTCCGTTGACTTCAATCACCCATCTTTACACAGAAATTTAACCTAATTAGAGTATAGTTCGCAAGTAATCCACTTGATTTAGAAATAATAGCTTTAAATCGAAGAAAATAAATCGAAAGTGAGAACCTTTGGAGATTATCAGTAACTTTGTGTTTGAATCCAGCAGGTGGATTAACCTGCCATTCCACAAGCTCTTTCTGTAGCCGATTGCATGCGATCTTGCTCAAAGCCTATTCACAGTTCAAGTCAATTTACAAATCAAAAAAAAAAATTGAAACTAAACCAAATTCATAATCTAAATTAGAACTATACAATACACACAATATATATATATATAGAGAGAGAGAGAGAGGAAAGAACCTTGCGAGAAGAAGCAGAGGGACTGGTCATGGCTTCTTGAACGATTTGGAGAGAGTCTAGAGAGAGAGAGTGTGTATGTTTTAGATGGCACCGTGGGTTGGTTTTTTCTGTTTAGGGATGTTTGTGCTATCAATTTGTGTTGAGTCAAAAGCTGAAACTAAATCCACGGTCAGTGATTCGTGGATCGTGGCGGGGAAGAATTCTCAGGTGGGGCTCACACGTATGTTATGCCACGTGGCGAACATTGTAGCTTGTTCGCCCCCAGATGTCAATAGTAACAATCTATTAAATTTCGAATATTGGTATTATATAGCGTGATGGATTAGGAAGAAAAAATTAGAGTGCGTGTCCTTCTTGAGTAAAATTTGTGACTTCGCTCTAACAATCACATGACACAAAAATATAAACACAAGCGAATTGACAACCCTGCTGTCTCTCCCTCCAAATAAAATCTCTTAAATAACTTGCCAGCTTATTGCTTGGAATTATGCGCATAGTAGGAAACAGATAACCCATGACTTGAACAATTTATAATCATGGTTTTTTAGAATAAAAAATAATCCCCTCTCCTTGCTCAACCCATTACACAGATTTCTTCCATGGGAGGGGTGCATAGAATACTGCCATAGTCCAGGCCGGTCCTAGGCATAGGCGGCTACTGCCATCGCCTGGCACTCCCAAACGGATAAAAAAAATTAGGAACGTGGTCAGAATAACTGAACTCAAGGTCAGTTGGTAACGTTTTTTATTTTTTTATTTTTAAAAAATTAAAATTAGAGATAATTTTTTGTCTTTGTTTTGTGATAAATACTGAAATAAAAAATATGTTTGGTAACTACCTCAAGTTTTTATCCTAAATATACTTTATAATACCTCATTTTTTGTTTTCAAACTGATTTACAACCATGAATTAAAGACATTCAAGAAAACATCAATCTTGCACAATCAAATTTTCGAAAAAATTAGTCATGGAATTTGCCTCCCTATACACATGCCCAAGCTGATATTACAAGAACACCTAAATGAGGAACCTAACTCACCCAAAAGGCCTTAACCCGCACCTTACAGCAATCAATACCCAAATCAGACAACCTAAATAAAATACACAAATTCTTCCAAACCTCATCCTCCAAGACAATTGTTTTCTTCACGAGATCCTAACCAACTCCAATTTGATTCAATAGTTTCTTGAAAGCATGGTAAATAGGTCTCAAATTATTAAATTTCCTCCATAGTTGTTCATACTTATAGTTGTACTCTGTACTTAATTGCATGTTTCTTACAAAATTTTTTCACCCAAGTTTGGTAAAAGTAGTATTTGATCTATTACCCGCTGCTACATCACTATCCATCAAGTCAATGAAAAGTGTCTCCTTATCGGACGTCCATATGACTATATTTTTGTCATTGTCAACCTCTACAACTTCATCATTATGATTTTGTTCGTTACCCGTTTCCATTTAGAACAATTTTGCCAATTATACTAACAACTTCCCATATTTTGATTGATATCCATTCAACTATAACAATATTTTGAATGATATAGCATGAGGAGAAAAAATCAAGAAGTTGGATAGATTATAGTTCTTAGAGGGATAGGTTTTAATAAAATTTTCATAAGGGCTTTGCTAATTTAAATATTCCTATTCTATGAAGAAAAATGGAATAGAGTAGAGAGTTTCTTTATCTTGGTGGTCAATGGATCATGTCTTACTCATTATTCATGCTTTTTTGTTTTTTTGCTCGCCTCACTTAAAAGCATGAATCTCACATAAACGAATGTGTACAGAGAGTTTGTATTCTACGTAAATTGGCTAAGGTCACTCAAGAGTGGTTTATATTGTAAAAGAGTCTCTCCACTCATTTCCAAATGATTTTGTATTGGTTGCTCTACCATTCATAACAATCCTAAAAGCAAATTTTTACATCATATTTTTTTTGTCGTTTCTCTCTTGGGACATTCAAATGATTCAAACAGTTCTCAGTCATCAACATATGAAACATCATATTATTTAGGAGAAGATACAAAGGCCACATCTATTTAGGAGAAGATAACCAAAAGGAAATTTTTCAAAAGTTTATTTAGGAGAAGATACAAAGGCCACATCTATGACCAAATCAATTGATGAAGTTTTTTAAATCACCAAAATACATACAAAAAAAAAGGTATTATGAAATAATATACAAGAAGCCTTCACCTGTTCAATTCCCAAAATTATTCGAAGATTATTATGTCTTTGCCTACAATGGTTTGGCATACAATTTATAAGAAATCAAAAATTGCCAATTTTTTGTTTAGATTTAATCCGTGTTAAACAGTTCATGTAACATTGAAATCAGAAATTGTTTAAATAATAAATAGCTCAAAAGATAAATATACAATGGAAATAAACAGTAATCCAATACTTTAAAAATTCGAAAGCAATGAGCTAGTTCAATCCCAATTTTAATCTCAATTCAATCACAAACACAACACACATAGAATACAACGCACACACACTTAGCACACAAAACACACACACACACACACACCTAGCACACAGAACGCACACACACACACACTCCAATCACACATAACACACACGCAACACACATAGATTTGTGCATAGATTTATGTATATATATGCATCCATGCACACATCTATGTATATATATATATAGAGAGAGAGAGAGAGAGAGAGCGAGGAGATAAGATGAGAAAGGAAGAAAGAGAGAGAGAAAAGTGAGGCAGCAATGGAGAGAAGAGAATAGAGAGAGTGAGGTAGCGATAGAGAGGAGAGAGAAATGAGGTGGGTTTAAATAGGTTAAAAAAAAGACTATTTTTGTTGATAAAGGTGTTCGAAACCCGGATCTCATTAATCTTTTTTAGTGCGTGTTTCTGTTTCGCGTGTTTCCTGGAACAAAAATGTTTTGTTCTTATTTTTTTGTCTTTGTCTCCAATACAACGAAAACAAAACAAAAATAAAAATAATTACCAAACATATTTTTGTTTTTATTTTTAACAAAAATTAAAAATAAAAACACAAAATAGAGGACAAAAATAATTACCAAACATAGCCTCAATTTTCAAGTTTTCGTCTCGTCCTTTTACTTGACCACTAAACTACTTGGAACCAGTTTTCAGGAAAAAAAAAACTAATTGGCAGCCAAGGCTCAGACCCCTTGACAATTCTCCGACTTAAAAAAACATTGGCCCCACTTGCATACCATTTGGGCTAGTAATGGGTCAACGTCTGGTCATGTGGCGGGAGGGCCTATCAACCCGACCAACCCAAACTAAAAATTCGATGGCCTAAGTTAGAGCATTTAGCGCATGGGTTGGGTTTGGGGTTGGGCCTAGGCCTTATTAAGTTAGTTGTGGATCAACCTACGATTGAATGAAGTTTCCTATCAATTTAATAGACGCCAAAATTCTGAATACAAAATAAATCTTTTAAGCTTCTATGTGTAATAGGTACAAATAGAATTAGTGAAATAAATATACAAGAAAAAAATCTTAAAGATTCTTACGAAAATCATCACAAATATAAAAATATGGACCATAGCCCTGGCCAACAAAATCTAACTGATGAGATTGGGCTAGATATGTGGCCCAAAGGACTCCGTAACCAGTGGGCTAGATTATTAGGCTGGATCAGTCGTAGGATTCAAGTATCATCATCAGTTCTCATCAAAAAGTAAAGAAAAATATCAAGGTTTAAGATTGAATCTTTCTATATACTAAAAAAATATTGTTGGAGTCCTTAACAAACTTTCCCCCCCACTTTTTTATTTTTTTTTTAGATTAAATTAGGAATGAACCAATTATTTATACCATGCGTCCATAATAACCACACTCAACTTTCATCAAGTAACTACCATTTATATAAGTACTTTCTATTGAAGACCAAGTGCTTTTTTTTGAACTTTTTGAGATCTTCCTCTATTTCACGTGCTCATACAGAACGCGGATTTGATACTTAGATGTTATTTTAATCAATGATTTTGCAAATCATAAAATAGTTTGTTATGAGACCGTATAATAGAACTCATACTTAAATAATTTAAATCATAACGATGAATAATGAAGAGATAAAAATAATTTTTATTTTTATTTATAATTTCTATTCTGCAATGTTATTGCTCTATGAGTTTCATAGTTGTCCATCCCATCCCATGATACTATTTAACTAGAGTCATCATCACCAAGAAGCTGTATGAGTATCAAAAGAGGGTTTAAATATTTGTTGGCCGGTGGCTAATATTCGTCTGGGGTCGAACTCCATTTTACTTTGTTGAAATTGGGCCCACTTATCTCCAAAGTGGTCCATCCATTCCTGTTGTGTGGTGTAGTGAGGCAGGTATTGCTTTATGTTGATCCTTGCTTCATAACAAAATCTCAGAATCAGGCGGTTCTGATTGGTCAGGTACTCCAACTTCTGCGCCTCTCCTCCATTTTCCAGTGCAGACCTTAGAAACGACACCACGTAAAACACCTCCTCGTTTGGTGTAACAACTGAGTTCCTATCGTTCCACCTATACAATACAATACAATACAATAGAATACAATAAATAGGGTTAGACAAACTTATCTTTCATTCTGATATAAATAATTTTTTTTTAATTAAACTGAGATAGAGATTAGTGAGATTTACGTAAATTGGAATTGGACTGAACAGTTCTCACCATAATGTTTGGAACAGTAATTATGAGGTATGTGACTGTAGGCATGAAGCTGGGGTTTTGATGGTTTCCTGAACGAATCAGGTGGGACCCAGAGGGGGTGTGAGGGGTCGTTACCTGTACCAACGGCTGTGTTTTCTTTTGGAATTATTGTTATCAGTAAATGGATAATGGGTCCATTCTGGAAGATCTCCTGACATTAGAATCTTCCCAGTTGGACCATCTCTCGATCGTCTGATTTGTTGGGTTTCAGTCAAACAAAAAATGGAATGAAAAATAGTGATTGGGCCATCCTAGCTGGCCAAATACTGTGTGGATCCAGATGCGGTGTGGTGGAATGCCTCTTTTTTCGATGGCAAAATTTTTTTTAAAAAAAAAAAACACTAGCTGAGACAGTTGACATGGAGTGAATGGAAGAAGTTACGCAGCCATGTTACAAGAAGTGATATTGAGATGGTAGTTTGTGGTTGTGCTATGACAATGCATACATGGTAAAAGTATTTGCATGGATTATTGTGATATGTAACCCTTACCGATGATTCCGTAATCAAAAATAAAAACAGGGGGAATTGATAATATGAACAAATAGACTAACTTGTTTTTGTTCATTGGGTAGATGAGAATAGGCCCACTAGTCTTTTTGCCCAAAATGCCCTTGAAAACTCCATTATCAAAGTCAGCAATCCTTGACTTGGGTACAAACAGGTTGAGCCATGGGTGTGGGACCTCCCAAAGACCCTTGGACCGGAGCTTCAACTCGTTCTTGTGAACCCGGTCCAAGAAGTCCACATAAGAAAGGTCAGTTGTGAAGATTTTTGCTGGTATAAAATTCAGTTTCTTCAATAGATCTTCTACTTCCTGCAGACCACCCAAGTTGAATTATTAAAAACTCTGTTTCAAAAAGAAAAGCATTAAAATAAATCAAAGTACAAAAAGAGCAGCTACCAAACAGTTCCGTTATAAGAATAGTTTTTTATTTCTTAATGAACTATAATTATCTATGCCAAAGCTGAATATTTGGTGGGTGACTGGATTAAATTCCGTGTTTTATTTAGCTGATATTTTATAAAATTTGTGTTCAATCTTAGGATCAGACGGATCGATAGATTACGGAAGATCTTGTGTGTTTGCTTGTGATTATAAATGTATTATTTAGTCATGTAATAACTTATAAAATAATCGGATTGAGTGACTAATATACCAATTATACAATCTAGAAGTACTGGGGGGAACCATTAACGTCATAATAAAATAAGCTTAAAAAGTTCCAGAATTATTTAGATAGGTAAAATACACAAACTAGGACAGCGATGCCAGTGGGAAGCTATAGCTTCTAAGAAGAAAATGATAAATCATTTTGAACATTTTTTTGGTGTTTTTTTTTATAGCAATTGAAGAAAATAACTATTCTGAAGTCATTTTCCCCTGATACCCTTTTTTTATTAGAAACCATACGTCACTATTAAAATTTATAATTTAACATAAAAGTTTCTATGTAACAAACAGACTTTTATCGCATAGTTATACTACAACCAAAACGCCAAGACAAAGACCCAACAATAAAGAGCAGCTATAAACCCAAGTGGATCTCCAAACCTTTTTTTTTTTTTTTTTCTTTTTTTTTATGTGTGTGTGTGTGACGTAGTGTGGTGGGTAACAAACTAGATCCACTTGTTTAGCCCAAACAATTTCAAGAATGCATGTTTGAGGGTGCTAAGTAACCAAAGTGGTTCAATTATTGATCCTTAGTTTTCAATTACCAATACTAATTGAGGCTCGTTGAGTCTAGAAATATCACCCGACAGTAATTAAGTTGATTATAATAACAGCTATCTTTTAATTTGTTTTCACTGTTAAAATCTCCCGCCATGTTGTACTTGTATCTCTTCTTTTAATACATGTGTTTTGTTTTTAATTGTTTTGCCTTTATTTTGCACATGCATGACAAATATAAGCAACCCTGTTTAATTAATATTTACCTGATCAATGGTATCAGCATTTGATTGGTTGTAGTTTTTGGTGATCTCCAAGGAATATAAGAAACCCCCATCAACAGTAACGGAAGAGATCTTCACAGGGTTACGCGGAGAGAAAAATGAAGATCTCCAGTTGTTGATGAGGCCTTCATCTACAATAACAGAGCCTTCAATATAATCAAATTTTCCGGTGGCCGGTTGTCCAGACAGAGAGATGAGATACTCTTGGTCATGTGTAAAAGCCGAGAAATTGGAATACAGTACTCGGATCCACCTCACCTATAGGGTACAATAATGGAAACAAAAACAACGAAAGGTAAGAAAGAGATAGGTTGTGAGAAGCAAGAAAAAGAGGTACGTCAACAACATTGCCAGCTTTGAAACAGCCGTTTGAATGGGTTCAAATGGACCCAATCCTCTAGTCTTAGGTCATTATATGTACTTGCTGTTTGGGGTTAGGCATTAACTGATACTAGGAAATTTTTGCAAAATATGTGTATGCCCCACCATACATATGGAACCAGCTGCCAAAAACCCATTTCGAACAAGTGAGAAAATAATTTGGGTAAGACTAAGGTAATACATTGGATAACAGCCCATAGTTGGTAAATAAGAATTGCTTATAACTCATTTGATATTAAGTTGCTATTCAAAAATTCACTAGCATGTTATGATTAATCCATACAACCCTATGTTGTCGCCTTGGTTGTCCTATTGAATTATAACAGTTAAAGTGGAGAGAGAGAGAGAGAGAGAGAGGAGTACCCTCTGGGGGGCTGGCTCAAGGGCAATTCTAACCCTAGTGATGATCCCAAATTGCCCTAGACCTCCAAGAACAGCATGGAACAGTTCTGGGTTTAGTTCTCCAGAACATGTCAATAGCTCACCCTTGCCTGTCAGTCATTATCAGATACCCCTTGTCATGTCACATAAGATTTAAAAAATCCATACAAATTACTCAAGCAAAGATTGCTTATAATGGCAACATCAATAATAATTAAATATCGCAAATAAGAACCTCTCACTCATATACGAGATAAACACGCATTAATCTAAACAACCCATGTGGAAATATACTGCAGAAATTGCCAAGTACTCATTTGTTTATATCTACTACAATAATCAAAAGATTTAAGACAGAACAGAAGCTACCAAAAACACCCCATGTAAGAGGTTGGAAGGCAAAACAATCCGAATAGACATTCAGAAAATGTTTATTAATTGTTGTTTATCAAATATTAACTCAATCACTTTCATTAATATAATGTTCAAGGGAATTAAAACGAAAAAAAAATGACTATGGAAGGAAGGTGATGAACCTGTGACAACATCGAGCTCGTAGACATTGCTAATCTGAGGGCCATAATTGAAAGCTTGTCCACTAATTCCAGCATTGGAGAGGGTACCACCAACAGAAAGGTACAAGTAATCAGTCCACGATTTGGGTGCAAGCCCATGCTCTAGCGTGGACGTCAACACATCTATCCATAGCTCCCCACCCCACACGTCCACAAACATCAACTTCTCCGAAACCTTCGGCAAAGCCGGCTTTCCGGACCCAACCCGGCTTCCTCTTGACCCGCTCATTTGAACCACCACTCCATTGGCCGTCTGAGCCTGTCCGTTTGTCGAATGCCCGTGGCCTCTAGCCGATACGCTGAACCCTTGAGCCGATTCGTAAGCTGCTTTAACCAGCTTGGCTATATCCTCCGCCGAAGCCGGGAAGAGAACGGCCACCGGTTCGGCTGTGTTTACCCCGCCGAAATCTGAAGAAGCTGCTTTTAAGTCCGATGGGTCGACGCTGAGATGCCCTTCGAATCCAAGACGACGAAGCTCAATAGGGTCCAAGGTGAATCCAACAGTCACAAGTAAACAAAAGATTGCGAACACTAAAACAAGCTTAGTGGTCATAATTAAGTTACTGTGTGCTGTGTGTGTTTTTTCAGAGACAGCTTGTGGGTTGAGAGTGTTGGGTTGTTATATAGGAGGAGATATGGTGGTGGTGGAGGGTATGAAAAGTGAAAACAGCGGTAGTGGGGACAGCGGCGGAGGAGAGAGAGGGTGCTGACGCTTTTTATGGGGAAAGGGTACAAAATCTTGTGGCAGCAGTGTGGAGAGTCGTGGCGCTAACGTTAGCCGGATTGCTCTGCTTTAAAAGATTTACCATGCAAACATGCAGACCACAGACAGATCCTTTTCTATTTGCTTTTTGCTCACGTTATGAGCACAAAAGTGATGGTAACGAGGAAAGATGGTGTAAGTGATTCTGTTTCTCTCTATATATGAATATCTTCCCCTCTCTATATGTATGTAGAACTCTCTCTTTTTCTCTCTCTCTCTCTGTGATTTGGGTTTGAAATGGGTTGTGAGTGTCCAGGTTATGAGATGCAGGTTTGTTGGCAATTTATAGAGCAAGGGACAGCGTGGGCAGATACGTGGGAGGGAGTTCACGTGCGAGGGATGAGAGAGACACGTGTGGAGAGAAGGAGTGAATAAGGAATGGGGAAGGCTGAGGTGTCTGGAGATGGGGTCCACAAGGGATACGGAGGATCCGTGTGGGGACCAGAGCAAGGGAACCTTCACGTGGGTGCAGAGGGTGGACGACGATGCTAAAGCCTTGCAAAGCTATGCATTTAAACCAATAAAGATTCTCTTCCCTCTTGATTCTCTCTCTCTCACTCACTCTCTGTCTCTACATATATATATATATGTGTGTATCTACAGTGCTGTAGTAATCTAAAGTGATAGGAGTATATTAATCGTGCGGTCATAATCACTGAATTATGCCAACGAAGGATTCCACGGCAATCTAACCATAGATTTCATTACCATTTCTCGTTGGGATGACAACAATTATAATTGGGGAATTGATACCTCATCTCTAAGTAGAGTGATATCTGAGTTTTAAATATTATTGTAATTTTTATTAAATGTTTGGTATTGTCAATGATTTAATATAAGAATTGATATCTACTCTCTCTGTTCCTAAATATTTGTCGTTTAAGATTTTTGCACAGTAATTAAGAAAATTATTAAATATCTCTAATATGAGTAAAAAATAATTATACAAGACTAAAATACTCTTATTCAATACGTATTGGAAAGGAAAGGAAAGGAATATGAAAGACACTTAACCTACATTTTTATCTACTAAGCACTTATTGAAAAACATAGATAAGGATAAATTTAAAAAAAAAAATATTAATTATGCCAATGAAGGATTCCATGGCAATATAACCATAGATTGAATCCCATTCTCTAGGGAGTGAAGTGCTTATGTCCTTTTACTTTTGATTTATTAAATTAATAAAGCGGTAACGTCAAGGTTAATTACTCATGGCTGTCAGGGAATCTCTATTGGCTTTGATATATTTTTTCCTCATATTTTGGTTATAAAAATCATGTATTGTGTAATAATTAAAGTTTCACTTACGTATATGTGATATTGGGTAGATTAATTTTTTTTTTCTTTTTTCTTTTTCAATAAGTTTTTTAACTTTGCCTTTTTGACTCATGAACACCTTAAAGTTTTGATATTGCACATTGAATCAGATAAAAATGCAATAATGTGGTCCCAAAACCTCACATCCCTCTTTTGTCCAAATAAAATTTGCTATTTTTTTTTTTATTTTCCTATTTATGGACACAACCATTGTACACTATTCCATTTCCTTGAAAGTTTTATACTATTTTACTAAAGAAACAAATTTTTTATTTGATTAAATGTGTAATTTGAACATTTTAAAATTTTAGGGTACCAATTAAGAATTTTAAAATGTTTGGGAGTATAAAGTATCATTTACCCAAAAAATTAGGAGGTTAGTGATGAATTTACCGTAGCTTCCAAATTTATTGTCTTCATAATCCTCTCATATAGGAAAATGTTATTTGGACCTAAAAATTAGGTCCCAATCCCTCATATAACGTGTGCTTTAAGACAGTTGCCACAGCCCACAGGCAATTTCCCCTCATTTAATGGTTTGGCTTGCCAACTACTCCTACTAAACAATTACCATTGCCTAGAATGTTCACATCATGTTTACCTACTTGACCTGTTGGGTAGAAGGAACTTTCATGGAATGCCCATGAAACAACTAATTTTGAGAATCAAACTCCGATATCGTCCTATATTATTTTTGTCAATTTCTTTTAATGCTTTATTCGATACCAAAACTCAAACGAAATTCACGTGTATGTACTTAAGTGGGTCTCACATCAGTACACATAGAATTCTATATCAATCTAATTGTTTTTGAACTACTTTTTGGATTGTTACGCTTTTGGTAGTTATATGACCAGCATTGACTGAGAAAAAGAACGGAGATATGTAGTAATACATTCGGCCTCAATTTCCTCCAACACTAGATTACTTGTCATGGATTTACATAAAGACTCATTATATATGAGTAAGTCCACCACCAATACAACGTGAGTAACATTTTTTTGTATATGAGTGAGGAAAATTAAAGAAAACGACATGGAGAGTTTAGTAGAGCTTATGTATTAAAAAGCTTGAAATTATTGGAACATACAATACTAGTCAAGTTCATAGACCTAATTTTAATATGCTCCTTAACAAAAGTGGGTTAGGTAGTTCAACTAATTAGTGATTAGTCAAGATCAATGTGAAACACACTTGTACTTGCTTCTGAAAAGGGTTTGTTTGCCAGCGCAGGAGACCAGAATAGAAGTTCACAACTTCTCCAAGAAGAAGCCATGGACATGAAAAAAGCACAACATTTGGAAGAAACACATTATACCCCACCACGACTCTAGCAATTCCACAGCCAATCATCCTCACATGGTATCATTGTGTCGTTTTTGCTTGACTTTCTCTCTATTGCTTAGTAAGCTCATTGGAGTAGTCTAAATAGAAAGATTTCGATATTACTAACTTAAAGACCGTTAATTTTCACAAGAAAATTTATTTCACCGACAAGCAGACAATGTTATGTTAGTTCGGCATTTATATTGTAATTGCAAATAATTCTTCGTGACTAAAATCTATATTGGTGGCTGAAATCCAGTTCCAGTTTTACGACCAACCAGATGAATCAGAGGTCTCCGTGTACTCTTCCTTTCTTCTTCTGTTTGACGGAAAGGCTGCTGTCAATCTATTATCTATGTTTATATCTAAGATTACTAATTGGTACGTATCTTCTCCGCAACAACCAAACTGGGTTATTAAAATTATTGAAACTCATGGAATTTGGCAACCACAATAAGTTTCGAACTTTGTGACTTGAACACTACGCCGTCATCATTTTAGAACTAGCTTTTATTATGATAGAATTGCATCTTCTAAACTAGTTTATAAATTTGTAGATTAAGATAATGTTCTATTACTTTTTTTTTTAAAAAAAAAAAACATTTCTTCATTGATAGATGATCCACCATGTATATGAGAATTTCTAATAAATCTTATATTTGTGTTTCGTTTTGTGTACTAATCATTGATTTTATAGACTTAATGAACGAGAGTCAATTAATATTCTTAAATAGATGATCGATCAAAGAGAAACACCGAGAAAAAATCTATCGGTGTGGATCTCACTCTGAATTTTTGAGTCTTCCTATCCATGTTAATTAATTTTGAGTTGGATTTATAAGGCTATCTATCTCTAACTCTATCGTGCCTTATTCAGCTTATCACCTGTGTGAGCATGTGCCAAGTAAGTCTTGTTCACATTCGCAAATTTCTTACCGCTGACGTGATTCCTAAGTCATTTTCATGATATGATGAGACGGTCATGATATGAACAATATTGTACTGAAGTGTTCGACGGTGATTTTGTTGGATTATATGTCTGATTATATTTGATCTTTCTTTTAAAAGTATATCTTAGAAGACTGAACCTTCAAAAAATTACAGAATCTTACAAACAATCTAATGATTATAATCCCTCTAGTGGCAGAACTCAAATATACGATTATGACATTTCTATTATTTTTAACCGGCATGCTACATTTTGTTCTTACACAATAAATATGATGCTTATGAAATCAACAATACGGCAATGAAGTGTTTAAACAATGATTTTTTTTTTATTACATTTTCAATATATTCAATCTTTCTTTTAAAAGTATATCTAAAAACCCGAATATTCGAGATACACATAGAATCTAAGAAAAATCTGATTATTTCAACTTGTCTAATATCCGAACTCCACTTAGATGATTATGACACTTCTATTGTTGTTTACCCATGTAGTCAGTCCAATTTTTTGGGATATAATTTACTTGTTGAAATTATGTAATGAACAAGACAAAACATTGCTATATATACGAATTATTTCTTAGATTAGAAATATTTTTGTAAATATATAATTCTACAAGTGGACAAGTTGTAGTGTTGTTCAGCATAACCATTCCATCAGCGACATTATTACAGATAGACATTAATTGTAGTGCAATAATTTAGGGAAAATTGCATTTAAGCATTGGTTGTAATCATCTCAGTGGGAGCATGAATTTTAAAAACAATTACAGGATCGATTTGAGGGGCCAAGATTGATATGAATCAATAATCACTTGTGGTTTGATTGATCTTTTTTTAATGGGTCCAATTGCATAGCTAAACAAGGGGCAATTCACCCCTTCTTCCTTCTTTTCTCTTAATCCCACAGCATCCAATGTCCATAGGAAAGAGAAAAAGATACTACTTGAATTAGCTAGACCTAGACAGTCCTTGTATAGGCTTGATCTTATAAGAAAACCTCTAGCTGTCCATGCAAATCGTAATGGAAAGCATCATCCAAAGCAACAACAAAAAAACGTAATGGAAAGCCATGTGGGCTTTGTATTAAGTTAACCACGGCCGGATGTTTTGAAAAGAAGGAAAATGCTTTAGGAGGGTGCTAAAGAAAGCCTAAGAGTTTTCTTTTGTAGGGAACATGGCTTTAGATTGAGAGCTCAGCTTTTCTTCATCATTTTATAGTTT